ATGCCTTGGGAAAATAAAGCATCTCGACACTCCGCTGTCAGAATCTCGTCAACGAAAATCGTTCGAGGACATGAGTGCATCGATCAATGGTTCGGGTCTAAGTTGTGGGTCGGACTGAATCATGCAAAGATCTAATGAAGGAAAATCTGACACCTACGACTGAAAAAGAACATCCGACATCTGCACAAGCAAAACAGATTGATTTCGAAAAGGAAAAGTAATTTTCGGACAAAAAAAAAAGCACGAGAGCCCGTATATATTTATTGCTCTGTTAATCTCTCTCTCTCCTCTCTCTCTCTCTCTATATGTATATGTATACACACACTACAGAGAGAGGGACACTTTGTTTAAGGGTCTGAAATCCAAAAAAAAAAAAAAAAAAGCAAAGTCATCGAAAAGCTCAACGACATGCATGCAAAGGTAGACGCTGTAACAAAAAGGACCAAACCAAAATTGCTTATTTATTTGTATATTTGTTAAAGAAGGACTGTCCCCTCTTGCTTCTCTCACTAAGATTCTCTTCACCCTACTGCTGCTTTACATGAAAATTGTCTTGCCTTTTGTTACTATAATATCTATATATATATATATATATATATTGCTGAACATATTTAACATAACTATGTGAAAATTACAGGGCTTAGAAAGATATGAGACATGTGACTTTCTAAAAACTTATACACCACTTTGTAAAATTTGATCTATAACATTGGATTATCCAAAAAAACTTTGATTTTTTTTTTTGGTTAAAAAAATAACTTTGTATACACCCGAACCCTAATCCTAGGGTTAGATGGTTTTACCTTTCTTGCAATTTCACCCTCTGCCTAGGGTCCACGTGTGGGATTTTGGTCATTCAAAAAGATAACTTTCTAGAAACAAGGGGAAACAAAACCCCAACCCTTTTTAATTTACTAAGTTTTGTTTTTCATTTTTTTTGGGATTAAATTTCCAAGAAAACCCCCCAACGTGAGCTTTTTTCGCATACATATTTATTTCTCCACAAGTAATCACTCTCCACTTGGACCCTTTTCTTCAAAAAAAAAAAAAAAAAAAAAAACCACTTTCAAACCTTTTCCTCCCCCATTCAAGACAGCCCACTTCCTTTTTTTTTTTCTTACTCGCATCACGAAAATATAACGAACAATGCGCTTAAAACCCTACAAGAATCTCACTCTTCTTCTTCTCCTCTTCTTTCTCTTGCTTTCGCCATTGTTTCTCTGGGGGGAAAGAGACGACCTCGAAACCAATGTTGTTTCTGCAAGCGAGGGAAAGTCTCGAGCGGCAGCGGAAGAAGAAGAACATGGGAAACAGACCACGACGATCGATGGCGACCTCTTCTTCAGCAAGAGAAGAGTCCCAAACGCCTCCGATCCTCTCCACAATCGTAAATAGTTCCCCTTCTTACTTTTTAGGGTTTTACTTTTTGTCTTCAATTGGTGAGAACGCTGGACCGTGTTTCTTGATAGGCAACTATTCTCTTTTTTTTTTTTTTTACCGAGAGGTTCACCTGAACTTTCGACCCAATCTACATCCTCGGACGTAGTAGCAGCCTTTAGAATAACGGCCCAGAGAAGAATACCCTACTCCTCCCTCCCATCAGCTGGTTTCGAACCGGCGACTGGGATCCAGAGAGCAACACACTTTCACCATTTGACCACCCACTGATTGCGGCCTACTAATCAGAGATATTGATAGGCAGTTCCGCTCACGAATTGCGGCTCTCAGACACTTGGCACCAAATCTGGCAGGATCCAGTATCCAGCTTTGGTTTGCTGAATGTCGGAACACGGCTTTCACTCCTTTTTTTGGGGCTATATATTATCACAGTCTATCCTTTTGCTACTTATCTTTGTCTTAATACTCTGCGGCAACTGATGCGGCCACTATGTATTGTTGTTGTTTCAGTATATTAATACAGGCCTTTTAACCAAAAAAAACGCCAGAAAAATGTTAAGATTATATATACAGAGACCGCCTAGGAGTGACCATTTCGGTTATTAACTGAATAACCGAGCTGAACCGAACCGAATAAGACATAACAGTACTCGAACCGAATCCAACATAAAAACCGAACGGTTATGATTTCTTTAAATCTGGAAAAACCGAAACCGAACCGAACCGAACCGAATAAAAAATAACCGAAAAACCCGAGAAAATAATCGACATTTTTTTTTGAAAAACTGAACTTTTTACCGAAACCGAACCAAAGTTTATATAAAAACCGAATGGTTATAGTTTTTCTATAAGCGAAATAACCGAACCGAACCTGAAACGAAATCCGAATTGGTATCGACGCGCTGAAACGGTCGTGTGTTAATGTAAATGCGTGATTTCTAAAATGGTAATCAACTGTGACGAGATGACTCCTTAGGTTCGTTTGCAAATGAACTTTAAAATTGCTGATTCAACTCGGTTCGCGACGAGTCAGTGACGTATCATCTAGCATCTCGCAAGGGAACTCGTTTTCTGTTTATCGGATGGAGGTTTAAGACAGCTTGAAAACTGCAAAATAACAAAAAACCCCTATTTTCACTCAACTGACGAAACCCCCGAAACTTGATTTAAAAAAAATAAAAACCAAGACGGCAATCTCGGTCTCGGGTATCCGAACCGAAAACCCGAATTCGGTAAATGGAAATCGAGTGATGTCGAGGAATGTGTAATCCGTGTCTGCGTTAAGGGTTTCTATTTCTCCACGGAAAACACACCACCAATACCTCAATCCTCAAAATACCAGTCCAATACAAGGGTTCAAGGGTACGATACCGAGTCGCTCGAAATCTCGCTACAAACTCGATGCAACGATATCGAGCCAAATACTATTCTTAACGCGGAATCGAGAACCAGAAAGATTCCATCTTTCAGCCGGTAGCAGTGATCTGAAGCCTCTGGACCCAGTAGGCGAGCTGCTCGGCCACACAGGTCGACCCGGTCGAACCGTACGAACAGAATTTCCCGACTGAATTCTTGACGCCCAGGAATTCATAGACGTCGTCCTCGAAAACCGCATTCACGTCTTTCATCTCTTCGAGACTCAGGTTCTGAAGTTCGCAGCCTCTCGAGACGCACACTGCAACTAATCTTCCAACTACATCGTGAGAGGACCTAAATGGCATCCCCTGCAGAAATTTCCCGCGTTAGGAAACATCGCCCAACGCTTCTTCGGGTGAATAATATGGCGAAATACTGTCGGGATCTCGCAAGTTTTTTTACCTTCTTCACGAGATAATCGGCGAGGGTGGTAGCATCGAGGTGTCCAGCGGGTAGAGCCTTGTTTATTCTGTCGTGGTTGAAAGAAACGTTGTGGGCAAATTCCGCAGATACATCGAGCATTCCCGCTATAGTCTTCACACTATCGAACATCGGTTCTTTATCTTCCTGAGACACAATACATGATGAACAAGAAGAAAAATTCTCGGTGAAAATGGTCTAAAGGTTTTAGCCGAGCACAAGAACCGACCTGGAAATCACGGTTATAAGCGAGGGGGAGTCCCTTGCATAAGGTAAGAAGAGTGACGAGATCCCCGATGACTCGAGCAGATTTTCCACGGACGAGTTCCATAGGGTCAGGATTTTTCTTCTGAGGCATTATACTGCTTCCAGTTGAAACCGAATCGCTTGGAGTGATGAAACCAAACTCCTCAGAAGCCCAGAGTACCCACTCTTCACCGAGCCGTGATAGATGAATGGCTGTCGTGGAATTCGCAAACGAAAACTCCAATACGAAATCCCGGTCTGAAACAGCGTCGATGCTAGTTGAAATACCCGGAAAAGAAAAAACAAGAAACTGATTAATGAACAAAAAACAACAACAGATGTTACAGATCAAAGAACAGGGAAGAACAAATGAACAATGTTAGAACATAATCAAACCATGACCAGGCTTTTCGAATAGTTGTCAAGGCAAAAATTACCAAGAAATGAACAAAAGTGAAGAAAAAAAACGAAGTAATAAAGCACCTGCATCAAAGAACCGTTCTACTAGACTGCATCAGGAGAACCAAGAAAAGGCTCGGACAGCATAATCCATGAATGTTTTTGCAAATGTTCCAAGAACTTTGGAGTTTGGCTCATACCTATTCCTCATCGGTGCAGTGAATCCCAAAGCATTTGCAGTCATAAACCTATCAATGGGTAGGCCAGTTCCAGCCAAAGCACATGCTCCAAGGGGACAGAAATTCAGCCTCTCCCGACAGTCCATATAACGACCAGCATCACGTTCAAGCTGCAAAATCATATGATCGAGATTAGTTTCTACATCAAAACATAAACTCCTACGGAAAAATGCATATATTAATCGTAAAACCTGTAACCCGAGACGAAAAGGCCACTAAACAATGGTGAAGATCACTAGAAAGAAGACACAAAACCAGAACAACCCCTCTAAAGCTAATAGCTAAGTAGCAATGGTACAGTTAGATTAACAAATTCATCATTTTTAAAAACGGAAACTTTGCAAAGGTCAATCTTGTACCTGCTCCACAAATGTTAGGAGGACATGGGGTAATAAAACGGGTTGAGCCCTTTGAAGATGGGTATAACCAGGAACAATCAAAGCCTCGTTCTTCAAAGCCAAAGTCACCAGTGCAGTCTGAAGATGCTTTATTTTGGCGATAATCGAATCAATAGCATCACGACACCATAGCCGGAAATCGGTGGCGACCTGATCATTCCGGCTCCGAGCTGTATGAAGTTTCTTTGCAGGCTCACCAATCATATCAGTAAGAGCTGCTTCTATGTTCATGTGCACATCCTCTCGATCAGTCCTCCAGACAAATTCTCCTGCTTCTATTTGCTTCTCAATGTCATCGAGACCGTGCAAGATACTGTCCCTATCACTCTCCGTTATAAGTCCCTGCAAGAGAAGAACATCACCAAGGATGTAGTCATTGATTCAATGGTCTAAATACACAAAGGCCATAGAGAGAGAGACAAATCTTTTCATCACTACATTGTTCAGATAATGAAGATATAGAAGATAATCACTGAGAAAATCAGATTCGTGAAGCAAAAAGCAGGAATTTTGGATTCAACCCAGAATCAGAATCAGAAAAAGAGACAAACCCCTAATCCCAAATCAGATTCTTTTCTTCATCTCAAGCCACATTTCCTCACAAACCATACCACAATGTCACAACTCACGAACCTGATTAGCGAGCATGGTAGCATGAGCTTTGCTCCCCATGATATCGTGCTTGTAGAGCAACTTATCAAACGAAATCGACTCCGTGAACTTCTCCACCTTCTCCGTCACACTCTCCTCGAACCTCCCTCCCCACAGCTTCGCCTCCTTGGAGGCCGTCTCGCCAACATGACTCATTGCTCGCAGCGGCTCCCGCCGCCGTGAATTGCTTCCCGCCGCCGCCGCACGCGGAGGGAAGGAGGGAGTACGGGGGTTTGACGGTGGATCTGAGAGAGAGTACGGTGTTTTGACGGCGGATTTGGGCGCAATGGAGAGAGAAGCGGACTGTGCGAAAAGAATGAGAGATCAATTGCGTCCATGGAGGAGAATGAGAGAGGATTTTTGGAGCTTGGAAAGATGGTTTTTGCTTCAGCGACTACGCACTACGCAGAGTACTCTCAGGAGGGCTTTTCCCGTTTCATTTTTTAATTATTTTTTCTTTATAAATTTAATAAAAAAGAAATTTGATGTTTTTTAAGGGCCATAAAGATATGCAAACTATACATATGGATTACATAACTTTAAATTATATATATAAATATTAAATTATTAATAAATTTATTCGCATTTTATTTATTTATAATAATAACAGTCTGTAAGTATATTACTAGTTTTTTTTTGTTAAATTAGCTTTATTTGAGCCTTTTTTTTTATGAAAAATTGTTTATATCAAATTATTACAATTTTTTTTTATGAAATTTGTGATGTATTTTTTAAATATATTTACAAATAAACTAACAACAAATAAAATTTTGTATATTATAAATCATTTATTTCATATGTATCTTAATAATATATGTTTAAAAAATTATTAAAAATATATTGTGATTTTCATAATACAATTTTTTTTTGGGAAATATGAATTATAGAAAAGTAATAACAAAATAAACATGTTTTAAAAAATATTTAGTTTAATATTATTTTTATCCAATATTAGTCAATTGCCGTTTTAGAAAATAAAATAAATAATTCTAATACTTCAGAAAAATGAACAATGTACTAATTTATTGGCTAACGATTAAAATAATTCTAAAACTGAAATGAACATAAAAATAGTTGAAAAACAAATACCAAAATATCTAAAAAAAATATATTATTTTCCGATGAAAAACAGAATACGAAAGATCCAAAATTGCAACCAGAATACAAAATTGAATTAAATGGTTATGTCTAGCAGTATAATATATAAAAAATCAAACGCAGAGACAAATTATTTACACCAAAAACATTTTTATTTTTCATGTCTTAAATTTGTTCAGTAAAATTGTTGTGTTAGTTACTCAGTTTTTGCTATTTTCAGAATCTGTCACTGAGTTTTTCTATTTTAGAGTTGCGAATTTGTTCCTCACTCGATTTCTATTTCCGACAAAATAATCAGTTTTTCCAGTTTAATTGGTTACGAAGAAAGTTGAAAAAAAAAAAGTTTCCGTTTTGTCCTTTTTCCGATTAAAGGCTACGAAACTTCATCTTCATCATCATCTATATAAAGCTCTGCAACAATGTCAGACAAATGTATCTCTTCCTTCACCATCATGCCCCCTCAATTGTTGGAACTAAACAGAAACTTCATGGATCTTGTCCGAAAGGTTCGAACTTTGTCGGAGTGACAAGAAGATGTTGCAGAGAGCAGCGAGCAACGCGTACTCCTGGTGGTGGGCGAGTCATATCCGAACCAAACAGTCGAAATGGCTCCCCGCAAACCTCCAAGGTTTTCGTCGAATCCTCTGGGTTTTTTTTTTGGTCCGGATCTTTGGATGTGTTTTTTTAAGCTAAACTTGTGCAGATATGGAGGAGAGGGTCGGAGATACGCTGAAGATCATAAACGAGGATGGAGATACGTTTTCACAGAGAGCCGAGATATATTTCAGGAAGAGACCTGAGCTCGTAGGTTTCGTCGAGGAGGCTTTCAGGTCATACCGAGCGTTGGCCGAAAGATACGATCATCTGTCCAAAGATTTTCAGAGGGCGAACCGAACAATCGCCAGTGCGTTTCCCGACCAAATCCCGATATCTTTGGACGATGAAGAGGATGATGACAGTGAACATAATTATGATGATAATGAAGAGGCTAAAGCATGCATTCCAAGTGTGCCTGACATGCCCAAGAGAGATTTTAGGAATCCTTCGATGTTCTCGAGAAAAGGAACAATGAGGCGAAACCCGAGCACCGTGAAAAAGGCGGTGTCGCGGGAGAGTTCGGGAATGAGTAGGAGCAAGGCTCTAGAGGAGATCGATAGGCTTCAAAAGGGTATACTGAAGCTGCAGACCGAGAAAGAGTTTGTGAAGAGCTCGTATGTTGAGAGGTACGAGAAGTATTGCAAGATCGAGGACGAGATCGATGAGATGCAGAAGCAAGTCTGCGATCTTCAGGATGAGTTCAGCACCGAAATCGTGATTGATGATACCGATGCAAGGGCATTGATGGCAGGGACGGCGATAAAGTCCTGCAAAGACTCGCTGGCTAAGCTCGGGGAAAAGCAAAAACAATCGGAAGAAGTCGTTAAGTTTGCAAAAGGGCGAGTGAGAGAAGCTCTAGAGAAATTCGAAGCCCTAAAGAAAGAGTTTCTCCCTGACGAAACCAATCGCACAAAAGCTCAAGAAGAGGAATATAAATCTGGATCTGAAACTAGATACGAAACCGCAAAATCTAGCCATGAATCTAGTCTCGAATCTTCACTCAAAAACGTCAAGAAAGATCTCGACGTAGACTTGAATGTTACGCGATTTGCGGAGAAGATTGATGAACTCGTGGGGAATGTTGTGTCTCTAGAAACCGTGGCCTCTTCACAGACCACATTGGTAGATAGCCTAAGGTCGGAAACAGAGGAACTACACGTGCGTATCAGGAGCTTGGAAGACGAAAAAGAAACTCTCGTCTCGGGTTCTCAAGATATGAATAAGCGGGTAGGAGCACTCGAAGAGGAGTTATGCAGGATCAAGAGTCTCTGCCTGAGATTCGAAGAAGAAAATGACAACTTACGAACAAACTTCCTAATGTTAAGTAGCAATGCAGATCACTTGTCCGGAAATCTGCTCAACATGAGGATGGACGACGATGATACGCAAGCAACTGACTCGGAGACGTTTTCGGACGAGAGAACCGAGGAACTGAACTCGGAAGTCGAAGCTACGAGAGAAATGACGACCGAGGAAGAGAAAACATTAGAACAAGCACAAGGAGAGAAACCTAAGATTGTCATGGAGACTGAAAAAATTACAGAACAGACGTGCGAGGAGAAATCCGAAAGCAAAGATTCGTCTGAAGCAATAAGCATTAGCATGGACACTGAGTCGGATGAATCGGGTTCGGAAGAAGATGAAGATCAACCTAGATCAGATCAGGTCTCGACAGATCGGTCAGGGGATAGAGAGAAAGTTCGGCAGGATGAGTACTCTGCGTTCGCGAAGAACTACGAGGAAGTAAAGAGGAAGCTCAATGATGTGGAGAAGAAAAACAGGGATGGATTCTTTGAGTTAGCTTTGCAGGTAAGAGAGCTGAAGAATGCTGTCAACTACAGGGATGTCGAGATCGAGAGCCTACGGGAAAAACTAGAAAAGGGTCCCGAGTTAACAGAGAGAAACCAGTCAGAAATCCGATACCTGAACCCTCAAGGACGGCAGCGAGAAAGCGATAGCCAGTTGATGTGTTTACCAGTTTCTAGTTTCCAGTCCCAAGGTCTGCTCCCTGAGCATGACGACCCGAAAAAGCACACTGCAAAACCAAAAGGAGATGAAGTAAAACTGAAAAGAGTCACCGAGACTCAAAATCTAAATTCACCTGTGGAGAAAAAGATACGACAACACATCGATGGGCTTCTAGAAGAAAACCTCGAGTTCTGGTTGACATTCGCCGCATCAGTCCATCAAGTACAGAAGTTCCAGACATCAGTGCAAGACCTGGAACTGGAATTACGAAAAACGAAAGAACAGAGGAAGCAACGAGGCGATGAAAAGACACAGTCATCGAATCCATCAGACGTAAGGCCGATATATAGACATCTCAGTGAGATAAAAACCGAGATGCAACTATGGTTGGAGAACAATGAAGTCCTCAAGGACGAAGTCCAGACCCGTTACTCATCATTATGCGGAATCCAGGACGAGATTTCGAAGCTCACTTGCCGTAACAGTAAAGGACGGAGCACGAAGCTGAATGAGTGCCAGGCAGCCAAGTTCCATGGCGAGGTTCTGAACATGAAACAAGAAAGTAATAGGGTTTCGAATGAGTTACAGAGAAGTCTTGATCACGTTAGGATGTTAATGATAGCGGTTGAGAAAACACTAACCGCGCTTCAAGAGGATCTCCGGACCTCGCCAGTTAAGAGCACAGAGCCGCAATCACAACCGATGAGAGGCTCAACGAGCAGGCCGAAGATTCCCTTGAAGTCGTTCTTGTTTGGAGTCAAGCTGAAGAAGCATAAACATCAAAACACGACATTGTTATCATGCGTAAATCCATCGCTCCACAAACAATGTAGCTACATTGTACCGATTGAGAGACCTCAACTCCCGGAATAGCTGGTAATTCTCTCCATCCTTCCACCTAGAAGGATGCGTGGAAAGAGTTGTCTACACTTTTTTCTTCTCATGTTTTTCCCTCCTGAATATGTATCAAAGTAATCAGAAAAACGGTTCATAGTAAAAGGAATGGCGGCTCCAATGAAGCTGCCTGTAGGATCCATGTAATATTGAACCTGCATGAGGTATAGAGACAACACAATAAACCACAAGGTTTCACCATTTCAAAGGTTGCCCCATCAACATTGTAAAACAGGATACTACAATTCATGTTTTGTTCTACAAAGCGTCATTCTCCAGCTTCATTTTGCAGCTGCCGTTTATACTTTCGTTCATACAAGACCACTGTGATCAATGATTGATTGATTTCATGTCTGACTACAAGCAAGAATTGGAGGGAACAGGTGCTTTGGTCGGTACATCGGGGAGATCAAGCTTCTCGGGTTCTCCAGACAGTGCCTCTGTCGTAGGCACTTCAGGCAAGTCTTCAACAATAAGCTTTAACAATCAAACAAACAAACATATATTTACATTATACTCCGAGAAATGTTAATGTTTCTCATCCCGAGACTCGCTAAATACGCATAGAATTGTGTACACAAAGTTTATTAAGCTCTCATTTCTTATTTTCAAGTTGAAAAATTGGAAACACCTTATTTCTAACCATTGTAATTCACAATGTTATTATCCCCCCAGAGAAGCAGGGTGGAGTCTCGGTATGAGGAGTTCTAACAAAAATCAGATGCTCCATATCCAGAATGAGATAAATCGATCAGCCAAATAAGCCCACTGAAGCGAATGAACCCATCACTAGTTTGGGGAACAAAGGAGAGCTTTGGGGGAAACCATAAGGAAACCCATCACCAGACATCTCGGAGGTACCGTCCTTCGTTTTGAAGTTTCTTAACTATAGCCTCTGCCTCTGATGAACTCACCCCCTCCTGAAAATTTTGAAAGAAGATACCAAAACCAGAAATACTGAGTATCCATTCATATCAGAAAACCACGGATCAATAATGTGAAACAAAGCCAAACCAATGGACAGGAAAAGAACTAAACCAAGTACAAATTACAACATTAAAAACTGTCCATTTCAATTTGATAATGACTGCACATACCTGCTCCTGAACAATGGTATGTAGAGTCCGGTGGACGTCTCTTGCCATACCCTTGGCATCACCGCAAACATAGAGATATCCTTCCTTTATCAGCTTCCAAACTTCTGCTGCCTGGCCACAATGCAAGAGATGAGATTATCAATATGCCTTTTATCTCGTCATTCTTAGAACTTGCTATTCCCTGATATACTTACTTTTTCAGTCATTTTATGTTGAACATACTCTTTCTGTGGGCCCTCCCGAGAAAATGCTACAACGAACTCAGATAGGGTGCCTTGATCAACAAAATTATAGAGCTCATCCTCATAAATGAAGTCCTGCAACAAAGATGCAAGCAAGAGGTTGACACGATGGCACAATTTGCAAGCCACTACTCATGAGAAAGCATGGAAAAGTTCTAACCATTCGTCGGTTTCTACACCCAAAAAAGAGCAAAGATAGACCTAGTTGAACTCCATTTTCTTTCAGTGCCATCCTTTCCTGCACGGCAAATCATAACCAGCGAGAATTTTTCATTCATTTGATGCGAAAGAGGATAACCAAATTGAACTTTAGTCACAAACCTGCAGGAAACCTCTAAAAGGTGCCAAGCCAGTCCCAGGTCCCACCATAACTATTGGAGTTAAAGGATTTGATGGCAACTTAAAGTTAGATGATCGAATGAAGATCGGGGCTGCACTACAGTCATCACTTTTCTCTCTAGGAGTTGCATTCTGAAATTTTCAAAACTATTGAACATCAGATATCATAAAAAAAATTAACAAGGGAAAAAATGGTTATCAAAAGAAGATAGAAAACGTTACCTTCATCCACGTCGAACACACACCCTTGTGAATTCTACCAGTCGGAGTAGGACCATGGACTAGGGCACAAGTAACATGAACCCTATTGGGTGCAACTCTGCACAAAATTTGGAAAATCAAAGCAAATATTAATGGACAAACAAGCATCATTCTTTCTTTCTGCCACAAAGAGCATAGCAAATAGGAAACAAAAGTTAAACCTTGGTGAAGAGGAGATAGAATAATAACGAGGTTGTAGACGAGGAGCTACTGCAGCAAAAAATACACCTAAAGGGGGCTTTGCAGATGGAAATGCAGCCATCACCTCTAGAAGACTTCTCTGACTTGCAACGATCCATTGCGCGTATTCATCCTGCAGACAATATGCTACCATTAGGCAAAACTAATAACAGGCGGCAGGCCTTCAGTTTGTTAAAACCAAGAGAAAATGAAAAACATGAAGATAAAAGGAGAAAAAGATAAAAATGACTCAGAACCTTTCCATCAGGAGATGTTAAGTGTTTCAGTTTCTCTGCTTCACTTGGTTCAGTAGCATATGCTGCCAAGGCAATCAAAGCAGCCTGAAACCAAAAGCAACTTTAACATGGGGGAAATAAATAAAGCTAGAACAAAGGACGAAACTCCATGCAGCTAACTTCAAGAACACAAGACAACCTTTCGAGGAGGGTTCAAGAGGTCAGCATAACGTGCCAAAGCAGTATGCAGTGTGCAGGGACCAGGAAAAGGGGGTGGCAATGAGCTTCCCATGGGCGATCCATCTTCCTTGTCAGCATGGACAGAGAATAACAAATCTAGAGACTGGCCCAGCAACTTCCCAGCTTCTCCAACAGTTTCAACATGATTTTCAGCATAAACACCAACATGGTCTCCTGTTTCATATCTGCGGAGAGAGGCCAATAGATTTAAAAAAAACATTGTTCTCTCTGGGACTGGAAGTATCATTCATATGACTTCATTCGGCTGTTCTTATATAGCAGCAGTAAAATGATCCCGGGTTTATACAGGACGATCTGTTGCCAACTAATATTTTGAACGAAAAAATAAAATTGAAACACATACTCCTAGAATATGTCACCCCAAACCCATGATTTGCAACCATTCAATGAGAACATTTTTCTGACTTCAAATGATGAAAGATGCAAAAAAGGACTATGGGAAAACCTATAATCACGTAAAGAAACACCGGAAGAAAAGGTGGACGTTAACCAGCGTGAAAAACACAAGTTCAATCTGATGGACAATCTGAGCTCTATCACAATCATCAAGATAAAAGTGACCTCTAGTGATATCCCATCTTACTCTGATGAATACAGTAATACCATAAGCGGATCGAAAAACTCATTCAGACAGTTTTCACCGCCATATAAAACACGTCCTTATACAAAGAAATGGTTTTAACAAGTTGAACAGAACCATACGGCCATGACACTGATCAAGGTCATCTACCCAGGACTGGAAACCAAATATTACTTAGAGTAGAGACTTACGTAATACCAGTCCCTGAAATGTCGAACTCGAGATGAATACAAGACCGATCAGACTCGGGTTTGTGCAGCTCCTTCTGCACTGCAACATTCACTCTGTATGAAAGAAGGAACAAATCTTAGTATACAAACAAAAACTTAAAGAAGCTCTGGTGAATGGTATACTTATATTTATATACCTGAAGGGATGATGAATGTCAGCAACAGAGCTTCCATTTTGCATGCTTGAGGAACTATCTTCCTCGGGAGAAACAGCAGGATCATAAAAAAATACTCGATATTCAGGAATAGCAGCTGTATAAGTGGATACAACACTTGTATCATCTTCATCTCTGAGGAGCTTATCTAGCTCAGGCCATAATGCCTCTTTCCTACGATCCCCAAAGGAAAAGAAAATTATCAAAGAGTACCACAACAAACCCATAAAAAAGATATACTTTCCATAGCACTAGGATAGTGGAAATCATGAAAAGTTGTAAAGTAGCAAGTGAAAAGTAAGGAAAGAAAAATACCAGGCATTAAAATCATCCTCAATGCTCTGATCATCATCTCCTAGACCAACTTGAACAAGACGTTTTGCACCTGAATTAAATTTGTCAATACAGAATTACTTCTCCCTCATCTACCAAAGAAACTAAAAAATGATCCAAGTTAACAGTTTGACATAGGAAAATGTAAATAAACAGCACTATATAGCTGTACAACACACTAGTATAGATTATTTTATCTATCCAAGGTATAATATATAAGTTAAAACTTCAAAACTTCAAAACAAAAATTGCATGTACCTTGTTCAGAGAGTTGCTCGTCCAGAACTTTCCCTATCTGCTCAAAAAAGAGTACCATCAGATTAAAGTGATAGAAAAAAGGCAAGGAGACACGTTTTATGCCCACAATACCTTATTGAAATGCTCATACTGACGATTACCAAGACCAAAAACACCATACGTTAGCTGTTGAAGCCATGCCCCCCTTTCATTTCCCTGGAAAGACAAAATCATCGCCTTAAATGGTTTGCAGAAGAAAGCTTCCAAAGAGCTGATAGTATGTTGAATAATACAAAGAAAGCTGCAGGCAAAGTGATAAAGTGTCTTTCGTATCAAATATAGAAAACATTAAGTCAATATGATTTGTAGTATTAAGTTGACAAACCTCTGTAAACCATTTATAGAACCTCGCAGCATTATCAGTAGGCTCTCCATCTCCATAACTAAACACATTATCAAAAACATGAATCTGACAAAACTCTTGGAGATTATAAAGAGGAAAGTACCATAACACGGATATCATATAACTTACGTAGCAATGATGAAAAAGGCCAAAGTTTCTTTTTTCAGTTTCTCTGCGTATTGGTCATCATCTGCAGCATAGTCATCCTTCCAAATCCAGGAAGAAGAAACGAAAGTGATTAGTAACTGAAAATCAAAATCTCTGAGGAAGTACGGAATGTGATACAGCAAACAGCCATACCATATCAACAACTTTGACAGCTGCTTTTTCATATCTCGCCTTGATTTCTTCCGTCAATGCCTACGAGGAAACGAAAAAGGCCCAGATATCACAATGGATCACTCAATCTTTCAATCGCAAAACAATGGAAAGTGCATCAAAACTCCAAATTTAAATGGTTTAGATGAACTCCACCGTATGGTGGAAACCCGCATTCACAATTCCCACTACACCCCCAAAAAATCTACCAACTTCATCAAAATCATGCCCTATATAATCAACCACACGGGGTTCGAGTCATCAATCAGACACTGAAACAATCACTCAGATTACATTAGTTTCTCTGTACTATCAGATCGATCGCAAATCATACTGATTATCAGAATCATTGAGCTCAACCTATCTGCCATGAAAATGCTCAATACCTTAGCAAATCCCTCGGCTGTTCCGGTCTGAGTGCCGAAGAAGATAGTTACTCTGGTCTTCCCGGATCCCATATCCAAATCATCATCTTCATCCTTCGCCATCAGAGATTGGGGAACCGTCACCGGCTTCATCTCCCGGCTCCGATCCGCCGCCGTCTTCCTCCATAGCAATACCGCAAATCCCACAATCACCGCCAACGACGTTGTGGCGATCACGAGCGCGGCGTCGTCCGACACCGAGTCCCCCAGAGAGATTCCCAAAGCTGACTCCAGGTAACGAACCAAACCGGAAGCACCGAAACTGGAGCTCATCTTGGGAAAATTCGATTGGAATTGAACCCAGATTCTGAAATTCGATGGGTATCGCAGATCTTCTCCCTCTCTCCCCGAAGATCGCCGATTCAGGAGAGATAGGGAGGAGGAGTTGAGGAAGCAGCAACAAGAAAGAACAGAGAGTTATTGTGCTTACGGGTGGGGAGTTGAATCCGAGTGGGACCTTTTTCCTCGAGATTTGACTTTCTTTCTTCTTCTTCTTTTTTTTTAAAGAAAGAAAAAACCTTTTCATGCCTTTATTTCCTTTTTCTTAGCTTAGTTCATCCAAGGATAGTCAATTTGGGTTTTGGTTCGGTTTTCGGTTTGGTTATATTCGGATTTAATTATTTTCATTATAGAAAAATTATAACCATTCGATTTTTATATAAATTTCGGTTCGAGTTCGGTTTGGTTTCGGTAAAAAGTCCATTTTTTTTTAAGAAATTGTCGAATTTTTTGGTTATTTTTTTATTCGGTTCGATTTCGGTTTTTTCGAATTTAAAGAAATCATAACCGTTCGATTTTGATATCATATTCGGTCATGTCTTATTCGATTCGGTTCGACCCGATTATTCAGTTAATAACTGAAATAGTCACTCCTATTTTTAACGATGTCTTTGGTTTTTTTAATGTGTGATTATTATTATTTTCATTAAATATTGATGACTATCTTTCTTCTCTCTTTTTCTTACAAGGAAAAAAAATGTTTTATGTATTTTTCATTTTTCTTTATTTATGTCATTCTTTTAATATTTTTGGATTTTTCATTGTGTAGTTATTGGTATTCTCATTAAATCTTTTTAATTATATTTTTCGCTTTTTTTTCTATTTTTTTTAGTGACAAAAACTGCGTCTTTTATATTTTATGTCTTTTCTTATATCATTTTTCCTTATTTAATTCATTCCTTTAATGATTTTTGGACCATTTTTTATTGTCATTATCATTTTTTCATTAAATCTGTGCACATACAAAAGAACTCAATTTTTCCTTTAATATTCGATATATACACCTTTAATATATGTACAAAAGTATTTATGAACTTTTGTTTACGGAAATATATATAAACTTAATCAATTGCAAATTTGCCATAGATTATTTTCATGGTCTAAAATTTATTTATGCATAATTATCTCTAGAAAAAAATCGATTAACCACTTAATTCAGTTAATCGGTAATATATATCATCAAGCTCATCTAACACAATTCATTGACATTAAATTTTTTATTATAAAATTCTATTCTTTTGGTTGAACGATATGAAAAATTAAAAAATGCTCTAGATATTCAATCAATATTTAATCACATTCAATAATTTTTTTAGAACTCTATGTCAACAAAAACAAATAAGTATTTAGTTATATACATGTTTTAAAATTGTAATTGTCATTCAAATTATTTATTCATGCGAATATTTTTTTAATTGAATCGTAAATCAAGACAAAAAAAAATGAAAATGAAAATGAAAAGAAAAGATATTAACTTATTTAGCAACGTTTTTTTCCCTCCTTTTATCCGAATATTTGTTAAAACGTTTGACAAGCAAAGTTATCATGCTTCCCACGCCTTTGGCAAATGACGGAACATAAGGACCACGGAAAGACATTGCATGCTAATTTGGATATAAATGTTTTTATTTTTTCATTATTTTTATTATTTTTATTTTGTTCTAATTATTGATTGTTATAACTTATGTAATATGTATTATATTCTCTTGGAGTTTCCTCGTGACCGTGATTGATTTTGAATGAATCTTTTAATCAGTGCCAAAAGGATTATTGTACATACTAGGTGTGAACCGCGCAATGCGCGGTTTATTATTTTTATTGTCAATATAAAATATTTGCTATTTTATTATAGAAAATCATTGATATAAACATATCAAAAGTTATATATTGATATATACAGAAAAGAAAAAGATGAATGAATATATTAGAAAATTATTCATTATATTTTATTAATTTATATTTATATATATTTTTTAAAATTTTATTATTTAATATCCAATCATTCATTTCTTCCGTGTCAAACAATTTCTTATATAGAAGAGATATATCAAAATAATATGAATATAAATTAATTTGTAAATTAAATATGTGAGTTTAAATTACTTGGAGTAATTATAATGGAAATATTTGATGTTGTTCTTGAAAGCCAGTTACACATACACATATTACCAACTTTATATACAATCCAAAACATCATATGGCATGAAAAAAGCAGATAATGAAATAGGAAAAAAAAATCATTAATGCAACAAAAAAAAGAACCCTAACAAAACATAGCGTCTCGAGAGATAGAGTGTCTCCGGTTTTTGGAAGGTTTGATCTGACCTTTGGTGTTATACGACTTTTCCATCGAAAATAAACCTTCAAAATTTCTTTGGAAGTATTATATTGTATATTATCCTGAGTAGATGGCAATGGTATGATATATCTTGTTTTCGATAACTATGTATTGTTTATAAATGAGTTCAACAAATCAGGTTAGATATAGAAATAACAATAATTTTATGAATAAATGATTATATTTATCTAATTTCTTCTAATCACTTTATTTTCTCTAACTCCGTTTTAAAATTTTATTATTTAATTTTATCATAATTTCATTATAATTATATTTTTTAACTTATTTCATCACTTTAAAAACTTTTCCTTTATAATAAGTTTTCATCATTTTTATAAATAAATTTTATTATTTTTGTTAAACCGATAGTGATTCCTTGTTTTGTCGTAGTCTAATATGTACCAATACTATTTCATATGTACGTTATTGAAAATTCAACATATGTTAATCATCTTTTATCACAATATCGTCATTGTTCTATGAGTGGTCTAAACAAATATTATACAATATTCTCGGAGGACTCGCCGAGCTACATGGACCTCCGTGAAATCAGAGCTCCGCTACTTCCGTCTCCGGCTACGGTTTCGCTGAAGCTGTGGCGCATGACGTCGTGGAGAAATGACAGTCTCCTCGGCGGGCCACCGAACACGTCGGCGAAATCAATGTCGGAGTCATCTGTGGTCAGGTTACCCAACGCAGAACTCGAACTCGAATCTAGAAGAACACTCTTCATACCGAAGTTGAGATCGAAATACCAAAATCGGCGGGAAAAACCGGAACAGAAACTGAAATGCCTACGCATTCAATCGAAACTTTTTCCCTGTGATTTTGTATTTTGTTTTCAGACTCTTTTTTTCAAAGGAATTCAATGGAATAGAGAGAGATGGATTTTAATAACATAATTCTATTTTTTATTTAATTATTTAATTACAATAAAGTTATATTTTAATTATATATCAATCAAATCAAATAAAATACATCCTAAGTTTCTCGTTCACTATTTTTATAAAAAAATCGTATGTAACAAACATAAATTTTCATATATAGATTTTAATATATAAAATTAAAACAAAAAATAAATCTTTATGTAAGAAAAGTAAAAATAATTCTGTTTTTCATGGTTTCATATTATTCTGAAAAAGATAATGGTACTATTTTATAGAAAGGATTTTAACAATTCTTTTTTAATTTATATTAGTAAATTAATATAATGAAGATTACATCTAATAAAAATAATTTATAATTAAAATTCACGTAAAAACATCCAAAAATGAGTACAAAGTAAAGACATTTGTTTGATGCATAGGTTTTTTTATTAAATATATTATTATAATATATTGATATGAATATAGTAAAACATTTATATAGATTATTTGTTTGATGTAGGAGATATATATATATATATATGATTAAATCACTGTAAAATTAATATTATATTGTGTGGATTAGGAACATAAAAATGGTGAGAAGATAAGTTAATAACAAAATGATATTATTATATATTGTAGTTATTATTTATTTTAAAAATGTTTAAAATTGTTATGAAATTTTTGGATAGGTTGAGTTTTGTATCTATATAAAATCTTCGTAAATAATGATGTTGGTGATTTTATATGAACTTCTTTTTAAAAAATGTGATTTTAGGCAATTTTTCTTTTTAAAATGTTGAAAACTTAATCTTTTAATAATAAGTGGAGATAAAATTTTAAAGTTATTTTTATAACGTGGAAATCCACAACTACAATTTTCAAAGTAAATAACTACAAAGAGAGTGAAGTCCAATGTATAAAAGGCATAAATAATTTCAAATAAGACTGTCAACGATGTGTTCTTTCCTAGATCTCTTGTTCCGAGTGATTTGTATAATAAACTCGTGCAAATATGCATAAAATATGATTCGACTTTATATCTCTTTAAGTCTAACTTATGGGTTTCGGTTAAAGTTATATACAAAACAGAGCCAATATCTTTAATTTGTTGATAATAATTGGTATTCCAATAACATATACAACAAAAAGTATACCTATTTTAAAATCTAATGATATGTTTTGTTTTGAATTATCTTTGGTGGTTTGAGAAATCTAGTAGATATTATTTTTTAGTCAACTATAGCATGTCATAGTATAAATATATAAAAAAATTCACTTTGGGAATATTACAAACGTCATCGTCATTTTTTTCAATAATAATACTTTCTGTGGAACGATACAAATGTTATCATCCATTAATTTATATCAGTTATTGTGTGATAGAATTTTAAAATTTCTGATCAAAAATATATTCCATCATATATTTTTTATTGTTCTAAATATTATGAAATAAGTTTGTTATTTTTTATAATAATAATAATAAACATATAAATAAATTATATGTAGAATTTATAAATAAATTCATCTATTTACCGAAAGTTTTATCTATGTGATTCTCTTTCTATTTTTTATAGTTTTTTCTGTTTGATTTATCTATTTTTCCTAGATATTTGAATTTCTTTTCAAAGGTAAAAAAAAAAATCTCTATAATTTTTTCTCAAAGATTTTATTTTTTATGAATTTCATCTAAATTAAAAAACATTCGTGATGTGTTTTCTAATTTATAAGATTAAAATATTTATAGATAAAAATTCATGATGAATTTTGTTTTTGCAGAATATTACTAATTTTCCAGTGAAGATGAAATTTTATTATTTATAAGTTTTTTTTTAATTTGTAATTTTTATTATTCATTAATATCGTATTTATACTAAAAAATATTTCAATATCTACGGATATCAAAACAAAACCAAATTTTAAGAAAAAAAGAAATCAATGATATCTATTCATTTCTGAATTAAAAAAAATAATATTTATA